GGCAAGACTGTGGTAATAACAAATAAACAAAACTATACAGAAATTATAATATATTATATATATATATATATTTATTGCGTGATTTCAAATAATTACAAAATCATGCAATAAATATATTCAGTAAAAATCACAACAAAACACTCAACAGTAAAACAAAGCCAAAAATATTTTACACACTTCAAATATATATAATAATTACCATTGCCATATAATTAAAAATATGTAAAACATAGTGTAATGATGCATGTACTGTATAGAACTGACATCTAAGATATGAATTTTTTTTATTAAAATTAAACAAATTTGAAATTAACGATTTTTCATCACATGGGCATTATTGCTAAACCCTTACATGATGAAATATCATCAAGTGGGAGAGAAAGAGTTAAACTCAGCTTTATTTGCTAGACATCATTCACTTCACTTGCTGTAGTTTAAAAAAAACACCAAACCATTCCAAAACCAAAGTAGTGGGAAGGACATGTACCATGTCAACATCAACATCATAATATACATGAATACTGAGCAAAATGAATAAATTATAAAAATGAAGCTGCATTAGGTCAATTTTGTGCCTGATTCTAATGGGCATTTTCAAGACCAAAAAAGAATGCATTAGAATTGAGAAAACACAATGTTAGAGTATTTACAATGGTCAAGCACCTAAGAAGCTTTTGTGCTAAGCATATCCTTCCTAAATGTTAAAATTTCAATTAATCACACTAAAGAGACCGAGAAAACTTGCAAGCTGTGGTTTTAATACTTTTCTGATGAATGGATAGCATGTGTCTTTCATGCAGATTTCATGTGCAGCATGCCCAATGAAAAACTGGCAGTGAGTAGCATTCAGTAGCAATGAAAGTATATCCATCTGTAAATGAAATTCTTTATGTTTGTATAGTTGGGGTATGTACTGATGTTCAAATGACTAATGTTCTCAATGAAGTGATATGACATTTTTGTGATTAATTAATATTGTTTGTTTATTATTGTTTGTAAGTCTTAATTATCACAACAGATTTGTGATTATCCAGCCTGAGCAGCTATATCACAAAGATTTTTTATATAAACAAAAAGTATAAAATAATTACATTTACATAATTATTTTATACTTTTTATAACAGTAATAATGTGTAAAAATACAATTGCAAACATTTTCATAAAACATACAGTTATTTTATGGATGCATTTTGGTAATTGCAGGTGACTTACCAGCTTACTTTAACTGAAAATTTTGTATTGAAATATAATCCCATGTACCATAAAAATTACAACTGAAAAATAAACCATATATGGAACACACTGATATGCTTGACTGTACAGGAAATGCCTTATCATCAATCTCCATGTTATCTGACTTTTTCGTAATCCAATTCAGCTGTCTGGCACATTAAGCTGGATAATTGTGTGTCTACTGTATTTAGTTTTGGACACTGATATTTCAGCCACTATTTCAGGTTGATTTAAGCTTTCTTTCAGTTTAACCAAATAGAGGGAAAAACTAAACTTAATGTTTTCCTCTATTTATTTGATCATTATAACTTATTTAGTTATTATTCAATACAGGACATTTTATACTGAAAATTTATACCCAAATTTTTAATATTTGTTTTATTTACTATATTAAATTGTTTCATATGGAATCACATTTATCACATTTTTTTTTACTTTTCCTAGGCTTTATGCAATTTCATTGTATGCACATTTAAAAAAGTCAAAATAACTGCCAAATCTTCCAAATACTTTATTTCACTGCCTTATTGGAGGTTATTACAATATAATATTCTCATAAAATTTCAATTACTTTCAAACTTCTCAATTTATCATCAGGGGAATCTAAGAAGAAATGTTAACAATATATAATATGCAAACAAGTTTTCATAAAAGTAACATTCTAAAATTTTCTATGATGACAATCCAGAAGATTTGCAAGTACTGGGGATTTTGTAACCATTTGTATTTTACTGTCTTCTAATAAAACAGTGAAATATTTTAAAAAATATTTCTATGCATTTGGAGCTATAACTATTTTCGTACTCGTGTATAAATGGCTAGAAACAAGTGAGAAAAATTTTGTCTTGGTCATCCTAAAAATATTTCACTGTTTTATTAAAAGATACTAAAATACAAATGGTTACAAAATCCCCAAAATTAGGCCTATATATATAGGCCTAATTTTATCATTTTAATTTGAAATTATATATATATAATTTCAAATTTAATGTACAAAACAATGTTTTAGAAATATAATAATTGGAATAACATTGTTCATGCACAAGTGAACACTGCTGAATATCAAGTATTTACCCTTGAAAATGTAAACTTGGCACATAGTTTGATGTGACTGGAAAAATACTGTAAACAACACTAATACTGTAAAATGTATATAAATATTTTCAATAAAAACAATTTAAAACTTAACAATGGTAAGAAAACAAAAAGTTAGTAAGGACAATAAGTAAGCAAAAACAAGTAAAATACAATCAACTTAAAATTGCTTTTTAATTAGAAAATCATGATTCAAATTTATGAATTTATACTATATTTTATGGCAATAAAACACAAAACACACCTTTAATAATCCAGCTAATAAAAATTAATAATATAATAACGTTTTCGATCGTTTCTTAACGATCTTCTTCAGTTACCATAGCATAGAATAAAATCAAACACAAAAAAGAACGTAAATACGAAATTAAAATATAAATAATGGTAAAGTAGTAAAAACATTCAAGTCCTTTGGGATCAGGTGGAAATTATTAATCCTACGACAAATTTACATACAATGAAATATCTGGAGAAATTAGAGATCTTTAAGGCACACAAGAAAACTGGTTGCATCAACCATAGAGATGCGGACTCTTTACCTACCGCATGGCGATCCTTTTACAAGAATTAATGACTTTATTTATTTTTATTTGTTAAGTGACATTTTTTCGGATTAATTTTTATTTTTCGTTTATTTTA